AAGAGGAAAACAGATAGGAAGAGATATAACGGGGGTTCCCGGGGAAGGCGTGTGAGTGTATGTGTGAGTGTATGTGTGAGTGTGAGTGTGGTGAAGTGACTCCTGTGGTCTATGATGAGCACAACTTGGTCAAATGGTCTTTTGGAGTTGTGATATTTAGTTTAAATTCGTTACAATTTGTTCATGCACAGAAACACTAGATAACTTGCTCAACAGCCCACCTTGTATTTCTTTTACTCTTAATTTTATTTTATACATTTATTGACAGTTGCAGCCATGTTCATCAAATAAAAAGTTTATAAAAAACTAGCTAGCAATACTTATGCTACATCTATGGGACATGGATCAAAATAATGTTTGTCCATATATTTTCGTGTAAAAAATCTGGTGTACTCGATAATAAACTCATGGCATCCACACCAGACACATAAGTACATGTATTATACGTAATATTCTGTGGTAAGTAACACACAAGCACTTTTAACATCATCCAAAAAGTATGTGCAATTGCATGCAAAATAAACACCTTTTCTGTCGGCCCAAAAATGATTGTAGAATTGCTTTCTTTGAGCTTTGCACTTGCAGTATATCCTGTGCATGTGCCGCAGAGATTTCCGTCTGTGTTTCGAAAAAGCGATTAGATTCCTTTTCTATGCATGAAATACTTCTAAATCCATTCTTTTCCAAGGATAAAAAAACTGAACAAAGACAGCACTGTTACCATAGACACAGCCATGGCCTGAGGCAGAAGGCCTGTGGATAAGAGCTGTGGGGAGGACACTGAGTATGAATGATTTATGTTCTCAAACTAATTATTGAATAACAAGCTATTTTTGTTATATAGAAGGTACATTAACAGCTGTTATGTGGTCCACTGCAGTTGTGACTTCAGCAACACGTGAAGAAAACGCCAGACAGAAGCTGTGGATTTCTGCTTGTTTCATTCACCTTGTCTAATAAACATTAATCTAGAGAATACTTTTTTATATTTGTCAAGAAATCATTAAGGTACAGCTGCCAAACATATCCTTAAAATATCCTTATTCTTAAAATAGATATTGAATAGATGGGATCAACTTCTGCTTTTGAGGCACCTGTACTATTTGTGTACCTGTTCAATCAAGTGCAATTCATTTCAGGCTTTCTTCAAATTTAATCCACCTACTGACAGTCAAACACAAACTTTAACTGATGCTATGTGTCTGTGAACACACACTGACGTAGTGTGTATGAGAGGGTGTCCAACTGTATATTTCGGATATTCTGCAAATGACGTGTGGGGAAAAAACCCATTGTTTTTCCAGAGACAAATGTGAGGCTTCTGTCAGTCAGTCTCCCTCCACAGACAACTTTATATACACACACACTTGCCACTGTGTAGACTGCTTTCCAAGGAGCCAACAGGCACACAACTGTGCTAAGAAGTGTTTCCATTTGTTTTCATATTCCTCACAGGACAAACAAAAGGGCGGCGTCTCAGACTGAACATTGTCTGCGGCTGTCTGCACTTTGGGAGCTATTGCAAAAGCTTTGGGAAAGTCATTTAAAATGTTGGATCAGGTTTTCCGGGAACATGCAACAGTTGCGTGGGCTGACACAAAGCAGAACGAATGAAATTGCAAATGTTTAAAAAATGTATAGTGTTTTATTCTTCTATTTGTATTCACCTATTAAATGTCCAAAAAGTAAAATGACTCACTATCTTAAAATCAGGGTGGTACCCTATATCGGACGCTTGAGGTACAACAGTAAATGGTAAATGGTCTTTATTTATATATCATTAGAATGGTTGCAGATCAGTTCTGTCACGTGACTTTAATCTATAAAATCTGGAACTGGAGCCCGGTTTTTATTTCACTTCTCTTCAAAGATAAGCCAATAACGGAGGTATGTGATCTCTAAGTGCCCCTTTAGTAACATTAGCCATTATCAGACATGAACTGAAGAAATGAAGAAATGTCTTCGACACGCCCACGCTGTGAGTTTTCTGGAAATGTTCCTGCTGTATTCTCACATGGGCTCACTCAGACATATTTCAGACATTTTACTACAGTTGGTTGACAAGAAAAGTTCCAGAAAATGTGAACGAAAAGAGCAACTGACTTGGAAATTTACGTTCTCACATAGAGCCCCCCATGACTTCAGCTTATGCGTTGTCCTCAAAAGCACAGAATGCATTGTGAATACTATGCAGTTCTTGCCTGACACTGAACACTGGTATTACAGTTTCTGATGAACACTTTGTAAGGTTTTATGTCAGGTGACTAAATAACAGCTTGAATAAATCAGGTCATCTGACTGAGCTGAAATGCTGATGGTTACCAGTCTTGAGTGAACACAGCCTGCAGACATAGAGAAGTCTGTTTGATGTAACTGCAAACTGATGTCAAACTAACCCACAGTCCCTCTTACAGCCCAAAGGGAAGAAGAGGACGACAAACAGGTTCATTGATTTGTCTCCCCTGCAGCAGGGAGTAAACCACAAGTGTCCCTTACATGTCCTTATGTTGAGAGCACAATCCAGAGCATGTCACAGGTCAGCCCCGTGGGCTTTCAAGTTATATTTTAAACCTCGATAAAAGTTTATGAATAGTAACTAGCAACTAACACACCACCCAGAATGCCTCTGCTCACCTTTAGTCAAATAGCTTCTCCACATACATTACAGCCAGAGCCCGAACACTTCCTCATCAAGTGTTGGTGTCACTGTCACAGTGATGGATCCATGGGCTGATTAACAATAGACAATAGACAATTTTAGTGTTCGATGCCTCAAAGAAACAAATGGCTCCAATGTTGCCTTCAAGTGGCTGCCCTCTTATAGAGAGGTCAAAGTGATGACACATGATGGGGATACCCAGTCCCCCTGTCATCCATCAGCTCACGGACCAAAAGAGCCAAGTCACTGAGTGTGACTTGGATAATGGCCATCAACAACACCAACAACAATAATAATAATCACCATTACTATGTTTATATGGACACAGTATTCTGATATTAGCCTGCAGCCAATCGTCTGAATAAGACACTGCCATGTAAACTGGTTACCTTAATAGGAATATGGTCACACTCAGACATATTCTGACCTTAGCCCCATCATGTAGACATGTATACATCTTCATCTCATGAGAACATTATTTAAGTTTTTACAGATAATATTGAAAACGGTGAATAGTTTGAATGTTGGTGGAACTGTTGGGCTTTTCCATAATAGTTTAAGGTCTTAACCTAAAACGCCTTGAGAACATGTGTGTTGTGATTTGGTGCTAAACCAATAAAATAGAATTGATATTGAATTCTAAAATGCAGTCACTATTAGGAGTTCATATTTACAATTGAACATAATGTGTGTTGGTCAGTCACAAATGTTTGCATTTTGTAATCCGGATATTTGGACAGATCTATAATGAGTCTTGTACCAGTGACATCATCTGGGCCTGATTTTGTTTCAGTCCGTCCCTGTACTCTGTGGTCATTCAACACTTTGGTATAACAATCACAGTGTCTCACTAGAATTGCATAGCTCTGCCAAGGCCCAACAGTCTTCAATGCATGGAAGCCAAATCAAATTGCACACACTCAGAGAAATCAGTCCCCGTAATACGCCTGATTTCTTAAGATAATTAAGATCCATGAATTATTCTTTAGGAAATTGGTGAAAATGTTTTTAAAAAGCCCTATCTCTGCAATGTGACATAAAGTTAATGGGTTCAATTGAATGGGTTCTTTCTAATTTTTCTGCCATATTTTGCAGAAATGAGTTCAGTGGCGGTGGCAAAATCCTGCTGACAAACAAACTGTTGCAACATTTCAAACACGCATTGACACCAGTTCCTTAAATAGGCTTGTTTTTTAAATCAAGATCCATGAATAATTGTCCTTGAAAATGTTAGAACAAGCCTTATCTCACAATGTTAAAGAAAACGTTAATGAGTTCCTCCCTGACCCATGCCGCATCCTACCACAAATTCCTCTGGTAATCTGTTTGCTAGTTTTTAAGTAATTGTGCTTACAAACACACAAACAGATGAAAACATAATTTTGCTGAGGTAACAAACAAATGGACAGAGATGACCACATAGCCTCCTTGCCCCCGTGTTGTGTGTGACTCATTTTCCTCAACATGTTTTGAATCATAGGCTGTGTATGTATTTTCCTCTGGGGCATGTTCGAGGCTCAACATTTTATTCAAACCACTAGGTCACTGTTTGTCATGTGTGCCTGCAGAGCCTCACCCAGGATTTGACATCATTGGTCTAATTTTGATCAGGATTGGAATTTTTAACTGGGAGCTGCGTGCAGCCGTGATGGGAGTTGCCACCCTAACTTGGTCAGACTTTGAGATTTACATCACCTGTAAAGATTTGAAGAATGCTTCATGCTATTAGTGATCACTGTCACAGGGGCCAGCATAGACGTGTACAGTAGCACTCACTGGAGCCACCCTGCAAAGCCCCTTAACCCAGGAAGCTGGGATGTAAAACAAGGAACAGGAGGAAATGCAGCTGTGCTTTGAGACTTCCAGCAGACACAACAGAGAGCCAAGGCTTCAATCAGACCAGCCACTGTTATCAAACCCATGCTATTATCTCAGGAGGAGGAAAAACACAGAACCTCTCCCTCCTGTCTTCCCGTGTCATAGGGCATGAGGCATGTTTTTCTAGAGCCTGACTCATGCGAAAAGAAAACAGAGAGGAGGAGGAGGGAGGTTGAGATCTATGTTAGTAATTTAGTCAGATGATAACAACAGCTCATCAGTGCAGAACTTTAAAAACAATCAGGATATATCTATGATGCAATACAAACGGCTTTGTATTGCATCTACATCATCACACACACATTTCAATCACATCTGCAATGTCAGCTCGCTGCAGTCAGACAGAAAGTCTTCTAAAGTTCAGGCTCCGCGTGTTGAACAGACATTAAACCACGAGTGACAGATTTTTGAACGCTTGCAATCGGTAAAAGAATAAATCAGAGCAGTGTTTGTTCAAACTTACCTGAAGTTCACACGCTCGCGCAGCCTCATCCGTCTGATCCACTTGTTCCTCTACTCAACTCTGCTGACTGACTGCTCTGTGGACACGCCTGCTGCTGCAGCCAGCCAATCACGTGTCACCGAGCAAAGGGAACTAATCAGCGCACTTATACACATTCTCTGTAGAACACGTGTTTCAGTATCGATAGATGGAAAGATAGATAGATGGATAGATGGATAGATGGATAGATGGATGGATAGATAG